CTGCAAAGCATGCTGGGAGAGCGGGCAACTTCCCACACAGCCGTGTGCCCACCTGGGGGTGGCGGCACTCGGCCTCAGGGCCCGGCCAGGGATGGACACGGATGGACGCGACGGGCAGCCCTGCTGTCCCATCCCCAGGCCCAGCCTGGCTCGTCTCCTCCGTGCCCTGGGACCACACGGGATCGGCTGGGGCGGCCTGCAGCTCCTGGGCCCTGCTCGGCAGCCCCTTCCCCTCCGGGGTCTGGGGGACGTTCCCCGCCAGCCGCACCGTGACATCTTGTTGTTGCCTTGGGTACCCCCGTGTCGGGGACGCCCTGGAGATCCTACCCCCAGGCCCGAGGCAAAGAGCAGCACTGCACGTCCGCAGGGGCAGTGGCGCCGCACGTGTGCCCCATCTGCTCCCCTCCCCGGTGGGAGAAGTGTGTCTCATGGGGGCACTGCTGCCGGGGGAGCTTATGGCGCCAGGAGCCCAGGGCAGGGATGTTGAGCTGAGATGCCCTTTGTGGCTGGCCAGGAGGGACAGATGGAGACGGGGACGCCCCATCAAAGGCAGGCTGCACAGAGGTACTGGGGGGGTGGTCAGAGCCGAGAGCCCCCTGAGCTCGGCAGCCAGCACCAAGCCCTGTTCTCGTGCCCCCCAGGAGCTCCCAGGCCTGACCCACGGGGCGGGGAGCAGGAGGGAGGCAGATGTGTGCCTAGGGTGCCCCCCCATGCCCCTGTGGCCTCTTGTGTCCCTGGCATGGCCCCGTTCAACTGTGTCACTGGGGCGCCGTGCCCGTGGCGCTGGGCAGGGACGGGTCCAGCTGTGCAAACACCCAGACGACTGGGGTAAGCCCAGGCCCCGTGGCTGGAGGCTGGTGACTCACGTGTTCCCACCGCGGCTTGGATGCTGCAGAGACAGGGCACAGGGGTGGGGCAGGTGGTCACGGCCCCCCAGGCAGGAGGGGGATCCCGGGGCTGGAGGCCGGGACCTGCTCTGAACCCCCCAGGAGGGCTTCGCTGGGGCCGGGTGGACAGCTACCGTGCACGCCAGGCCCCTGCACCTCTGCACACAGAGCAGCCAAAGCCCCATCCTCACTGGTGTGCACGCATGTGCCAGCACACGCCTGCCTCATGCTCCATGCAGCACATGCATGCACATG